TAACCTCCACTCCTATATTTCCATATTCTTTGTCACCAGCAAACCCAGATACTCAATGTAACATGCCCCAAGGTGTTGGTCCCCTTAATTCAATTTGTCAGTTATCTTGTCTTCTTCCTAACCTTTACTAAATGCCAATTTTGTCATGTCAGTATCTATTTATAAATAATTAATGGAGAAAAATTTGAGGCTTGACATTTATCATGGCTTTTGAGATCCTCCAATGTCTTTTCAAAACTGTTTCTCCAATGATAATATATTACCCATATTATACACGAAGACAACTTACTTTACATTGATTTACTAGCTATTCTCTGAATGTTCCTTGAACACTTTGCCTAACCTACAATATCCACCATCATTATATATTCCTTATATGGAATGTCTATCTTCTTTCTGTTTATTATAATATTTATCACATCTCTTTGTTTTTTTTTTAAGTTTTATTGCCCTCTCTGCAGCCTTCTTGGTTATGAATCTCACTGTGGCCATAATTGATGCAGGTCATCTTGTTTTATCATTTATCATTTTATGTAGTTGTAGTTTTTCAAAATAAATTGTAATTCCCTTGATGTTTGGAACTATGGTTTATTATTTTTGTATACCATTGCATTTAAAAGAGTGATTTGCAAAATGCGTGTAGTTAATAAATACTGATTTTTGTAGACATTTTTTAATTTACCTAACTCTACTTTCAAGGTTGATATTACATGCATTTCTTTGAGAATGGTTCGCAGAAGACATAGATTTATCATGGCTCCACTCTTTCATCTGTGGATTAAAGCTTTTCCTTACTTTGAGGATCTATTGTGAAGATACTGGCATTTTTTTTTTTTTTTACTATTCAACCCCAATTTTAATAAAAAAGATGATTTATTGATTAATTTATACAGAATTCCAATATTTAATCAGTAATGGTCCTTACATGAATTTGATCTATGAAATATTATGCCCTTTACAGTTTTATTTAACATTACTATGTCTGTTCAAAATACATAAAAAAAGTAAAACATAAAAATCAGATTTTTCAGCATCGGTGAATGCCATTTTATTTTCAAATTCCATTCCTAAATAGAAATTTTAATTAAAAATGCTTAATATTTTTTCTAAATGAACTAAAAGTCTCATATTATGATACACATTAATTTTTTGGTGTGTACCTTGAGACAACAAAAATGAAGGAGAGATTAACTAGGTAGGTATTAAATATGTCAGCCCTGTCCAGTTTTCTCTGAACACAACTTTTGACACTACAAAACTTTAATTTTCTTCTGACATTTGGCTCCAAAATGAAACCATTGTAGGTGGCTATGGGTCAAGAATGATTACAAGAAACTCTGGATGTTAAATCACGAGAGCCACGAATAAGAGATGACCTTAAATTTTAGTTCTCCAGGTTTTTCCTAATATGCACGTGTTTTAATGTATCTGTAGAGGTCAATTAGAGCAAATCCAGCCTTTGGGAAATGTTTTAAACTAGAGAATTATGTATTTTCTTCATATACTTTAATACCTGAAATATAACGATTTGTCTAGTCACCAAAATGTCTGTGAAAAATATGGTCTTGATTAATGGGCGAATTGATAGTTTTTACTGAATGAAAAATTAACCACGTATTTTAATATAAATTAACTAATTAATTTCAGGCTCAATTTCATTTTATTACAATGAATAGGTTATTATTTATTATACCCATTAGCAAATCAGTGTAAAATTATCCAGAACTGTATTTGACATTTAAAGTGCTTACATCCTTCAAGTTTTGTCTTTTCTATAAACTTTTCCTCTGAATAGCAAATTTACTACAAAGACAAGTGAGGGGAATTATTTAAATAATAATTGGCAGACATTTCTCAAACTGTCTGATATCTTTAAATTCAATTTAAGGCAATGAAGTCATTCTAAAATTTTATATTGTCAATGTTGTCAGTGTTCTGTACCTACTGTACAAGAAGCCCTTGGTTTTTATCCATTATTCTGCTGTGTATTCATATTTTATCAGTTTAAGAGAAACAGAAGTGAGGTTGATAAGCCTCTTCCTTTAGAAATTTACATTTAAATAAGGTAGAGAATTTAATTAGCATTCATGTAGATTTCATTTGTTTAGTGAAAATGCCTACTGACCAAAGATATTTATTTGGTGATACCATAGAGGAGGCTATCAAAGAAGATGTGTAAAGTTATTGATATATTAGTTTTGCTTTGAAGATAGAATGTAGCCAGCTATGTGGACATATGAGAAAGGGAGAGAAAGGCAGAGGAAATAGTTTGAGCGAATACACACAGTTGCAGGAAAGTGAGTCTGTGGAGAGAGGGCAGGGAGAACTAATAATGATTGTCTCTAGCTGCTGAACATTAGGAAAGAGTAATTGGAAATAAACTTGGAAAGGTAAGTTTTCCTTCAATTAAAATTTGTATTATAATTAATTGGATTAAGCAAATCCACTCTGAGGACTTTTGAAACAAGCAGGTGAAATTAAACAGTTTTAGAAACTTATGCATGCAGCACCCTGAGAAATACTTCATGGAAAGAAAGCTTGAAGAGGTACAAGTCAGAAAAAGAAATATAGAATCTGATATATCACTCTCTTGGATTAAAATAAACATCTCACATTAAAATTAATGAGTCCATGTATTAGGGGAAAAGTGTTGGAAATAAATAAGAATGCATACAAATGATATTTCAGAGGCTATATCTCTAAGACTTGAAAATTCATTGATGATGACCAAAAATGGAATATGAACAGCAGGCATTTTTGGTGGAAGGGGAATGGGTTCAGTTTGCACATAGAAAATTTGAAATTAAAATACGCTATCCAACTGGATTCTAGCTGAAGTTTGGAAATCATAGGACTACATTTTAGAACAGCGCACACTAAAGATCCAAAGAGAAAAGGAAATAGGATAAATATCTTAAAGGACAAAGAAGAGGGAGAAAAAAAAAAAAGAAAGTGGAACAGAATGGCAATTCCCTTTTTATTTTCAGCCATCCGTCTTTCCTGCCTCCTTCCTTTCTATCTGTACATATGCTCAGATCTTCCCCAATTTATAAAACCCCTGACCACATGCCCAGAATTGTGGATCCCCAAAGCCCCAGCCATCTCTTCAGATTCAAGTTTACTTACTATATGGGCAATCTCAATGTACTTAACTTTTGCAATTTGCCTCTGAGCCCATTACACTTAAACTAAATGCACCAAGAGGATTAGTTATTCTTCAGAAGGAAAAGTCCCCCTCTGTGAATTCTCATTGGAATTGGCCTTGTTTATATTTTTAGATATTCTCTTGTCCCTTGGTTCTACTAGTTTTCTTCCTATTCTTTCTAACTTCTGTGCTTTTCTTAATCTATTCTCCCTGAAATGTTAGAATTACTTGAACACTCATTGAGCCCCTATATGTACCAAGCACTCTTTGAGAATAAGGAATTATAAAAAGAAACTGGACCCAAGACCGAGAGGAGAGAAGAAAGCCATGTAAGCCAGCCTGGTTCCCAGAAAGGTGTCCTGAAAAAAAGGGAATTTATCCCTCAATGATGAAGAGTACAAGGAAACATATTTTAAAGAGCTTAAACATGTACCATAAGTCTTTCTTGATAAATACTTTCTTCTTTTCTTATGTTTTTGATTCTACATTTCATTTCTCTAGTTGTTTTCAACATAGTTAAGTTACACTTTTAGCCTAATTCCATTTTTTTGAAATTTCGAGTGTCTGTCTCTCCTTTTGGATGTTGTAATTGACTCTTGCTCATAGTGCCTTAGTTGACCATGGTTTTTATAATGTTAGAATATGAGTTTAGGTTAAGAAGAACTTCATTTACAAAAATCTTAGGCCATGTGGAAGCGCCTGTGTGGCTCATTCTAAGCGTCAGACTCTTGATCTCAGCTCAGGTCTTGATCTCTAGGTTGAGTTCAAGCTCCACATGCTAGGCCTGGAGCCTATTTAAAACAACCAACCAACCAACCAACCAAACAAACAAACAAACAACTTAACTCTCTTTATCACTGCCTTTCTGCTAATGGGCTGATTTATTGTATCCCCTTCTTGTTCCTAAGGGTGAATTTTATTCTGGCCCAGTGTTATCTGGTGTTCTATAGCATCCCCTCTTATAGACAAGTTTTGATCCTATGTTGGTACTATCTGTGCACCTTTTGGTTACTACCATCCACAGATTGTCAGTAGCACTTTATACTCTGGCTTTTAGATTTTTTTTTTCTTCATTTTTCTTCCCCCTTGAGACTCCATTACTTTACTGAAAGCTCAGATAATGCGTGCCTGGAAGTAAGAGATGGTGGAATGGGTTTGGGATGTAGTTACATTATCTTGTCTACCATATTATTAGAAACACGTCTTTCAATTTGTATTAAACTATAATTCTAATTATCTTCTAACATGTTAGACTATTCAGCTATTTTATTTTCAAATTTGACAATAAACTTATTAAACAGCTCCTCTATTTTATTGCCATTGTCCTCGTTCCTTCACTTAATTCATTTATCTTGTGAAAATAGTGTTTATTCATGTTTCTTATGCAATATTTTTCCTTCTTTCATGGAAATAATTTAGTAGGTAGCCAAAATGTAGTTAATTTATGTTTCTATTGTTACAATGACAGTATAGGATTTCGAATAAGATTCCAAATATTAGGCAAAAATTTTCTGTAGTTTTTGCCCAATGTGGTAGCACGTATATGGCCAAGAATGTAAATATGGAAGTGAGTATGCATTTATTCATTTACTTGGGAAATAAATTTCAACATGTTAGGTTAATTAAGTGGTCTATTTGGTCTAGTTGTAAATTGTATACTAATGTAACAGACATAATGTTGTTTGATTTTTATAATTAGATTGTATTTTATAAAAGTTCCATTTCTTTTTACAGGTAATAAAAATTTACAGGAAAATAGTTTCTGTTTGGATCATGTAGTTTATAGATCATGTGATAAAATCTTAGAATTTATGTTTAAAACCATACTTAATTATTATTTACATTTTTTTTTCAGCTCTTCTTCAAGTGACAATTTCACTTAGCAAAGTAGAGCTTAGTGTGGGTGAATCTAAATTCTTCACATGTACAGGTATGTATGTGTACAAATATTTTAAGATGATTACTTGTTTTGGCTTTAATTAATATTATACATTGGCAAAATTTAAATAGTGAAAAATAATTCTCTAAAAATAAAATCTTATAATACCACTGGGCTTCTGATGATGGAAGGTGTTAGCCATATTTTACATATTAAAAACTATGGAGTTTATTTCTGTTAATTTCAAATTATTAATTTTGACCATCAAACTAGCTCACTTATTTTGAAAATAACTTATCAAATAAAATGTATCCACAATAACTTAAATAAATTCAAATGTTATTCCTGTATAAATAATAATATTAGGATGAATATAAATATTATAACTGAATTACCTTTATAAATATGCAATGAATAAATTAGATATGGCACACTGCATTATAGCTATACCTGAATGAAAACTTTCAGACAAAGCAAATCAAATCTGTCCTTATGAAAAGTGAATTAAAAAAAAAGATATTTAATCAGCAAAACTTTGGCAAGAATTTTATGACTGTTAATCAAAAGTATCATATAATACCTGTGGGAAATTATATGGACCTCATTTAGTTTAATCATGCACATGCAGAATTTTTTCAGAAGACATTTAAATACTTAAGCGACAAATTCTAATTTAGCGTACTGTAGAAGTCACAAATACACACATTGTACTTCTATTTATAGTCATCAAATTCATTTTTATGCATGCAAGCCTTCATACGTAAAGTTATGAAAAATATTCACATACGGTGGCTGGGGTGGCTCAGTTGGTTAAGCGGCTGACTCTTGATTTCAGCTCAGGTCATGATCTCACAGTTCACAGGACAGAGCCCAGTGTTGGGCTCTGTGCTGAGCATGAAGCCTGTTTAAAATTCTCTCTCTCTCCCCCGCTCCCTCTGCTCCTACCCCATTTGTGCTCTCCTCTCTCCTCTCTCTCTCAAAAAAGATAGAAAGTTATAACATATTTATAAATCATATATAATACATTATAATATATATTACATTATAGTATGTATATATAATATCACATCTTATGAAAAACTAGGAGGGCATGATTCTTCATATTTTGCCTTCCTAAAGGTCTAACTAAATTGATAGGTCTGTTGATACATAATTTTGCATATTGACAAGTAGAAAGGAAGACAGCAAGTGAGGTATTGGTTCAATATCACTTATTATGTCAGCAGAGCTTTGGAATAAGAATGAAGATCATTGTTTTTAAATCTTATCCATATTTTATATACACAAATGCACAGATGCACATACATAGCTCAATTGTGTAACATATTCACAGAATAATTAGTCTAAAAATTAAGTTTGAAAATGACATTGTATTATTTTCTTAGATTCATTATATATAACATATATATAATATATATGTTTATGTTTTATATATATATATATGTTATGCACTACATACTGTTATTACATCTGTAGGTATTACATAAGGTCAAAGTAAGGAATAATTTAAAAGAATGAATTAACATCATTCAATGGTACTACGTTTTGCTCTTAAAATAAGGCAAAATAATTAAACATCTTTTTTTCCTTTTATACAAAGATGTATAACCAAGAGCCATATTGTTATTGTGGAAGCAGTCTTATATATGTTAAATACACAATAGTGAAACAAGAATCTAAAAATAAAGATGCTAGAAACCCTTGCAACCCTTCCATATATATATATATATGGAAGCATTCCGGTTTGCAAATATATATATATTTTTTTATATATAAATATATATATATTATATATTTTTACAAAATATATGTATAATATATATAATATATATCATAAACATATTTACAAAATATATGTATAATATATTTTATTACAAGGTTGACTAAGTTGATATGACTCTAAAGTTTCCTGACACTAGAACATAGACATCTAAATCCAGTAAAATAAATGTCTTAAATTTACACTAGAAGGGAGTCAGACCTTCAGAGAGCTAAATAAGATTATGTCATAATTAGCAAATGAATTTGTACTCCACATTTTTAAGAAAATAAAAATTGTAATGTTATTTATTAGTATATCCAGTAGTTCAGGCTTAATAAAAAATATGAAAAGTTTTTTTTTTTAATTTTTTTTTTCAACGTTTATTTATTTTTGGGTCAGAGAGAGACAGAGCATGAATGGGGGAGGGGCAGAGAGAGAGGGAGACACAGAATCGGAAACAGGCTCCAGGCTCTGAGCCATCAGCCCAGAGCCTGATGCGGGGCTCGAACCCACGGGCCGGGAGATCGTGACCTGGCTGAAGTCGGACGCTTAATTGACTGCGCCACCCAGGCGCCCCAAAAATATGAAAAGTTTTAAAGGAAATTATTTATTAGAGATGTCATCAAAAGAGAATCATGATAGGGTGCCTGGGTGGTTCAGTCAGTTACGCGTCTGACTTCGGCTCTGGTCATGATCTCATGGCCTGTGAGTTCGAGCCCCTTGTCAGGCTCTGTGCTGACAGCTCAGATTCTGTCTGAGCCTGGAGCCTGGAGCCTGGAGCCTGGAGCCTGCTTCAGATTCTGTGTCTCCTCTCTCTGTCCCTCCCCTGCTTGTGCTCTGTCTCTCAAAAATTAATAAGCATTAAAAAAAATTTTTTAAAAAGAGAATCATGACTGCTCTATGAAAATCCAAAATAAACTCTCCATGACAATGAAATTTTATACCATATTATCAAGAGTGAAAATATCTAAAATATTTCACAGAATGTCCTATATAATTTACTGTATAAAATGAAAGTTTATATTGTTCAAATTTAAAATGATGTTCATTTAAATTACTCATTTGTACTTCTTTATGGAGATGGGAATTAAAACAAATACTTCCCCTAAATGAGTTATCCCGTAACCACTGTGGTTTTATAGTTCTGTCCAGAAAGATCTGAAGATAACATAACTAAGATCCATTTAATATTTAGCTAAACGTTCTTTCATACTTTTGCTCCAGCATGTCTAATTTGATATGGAAAACACAATAATTTGTTTCTAAAGCCATTTCTTGGGAAAAGTATAAGAAGGAACAATGTTCTTCAAAGTGGTCCTGCAGATGTTAGCATTTCCCCTTTATGCATTTCCCCTGATACTTTTGAGTTAATAGTACATACCGCTTCCACAAATTATCCTTCAAGTAATTAGGTGAAATACATCCTTTTTGTCAGTAAAAGCAAACTTTGGAAGTTTCAGCTTTTACGAAGAGGATAATAACCTGGATTCTGAATTGGAAAACTTAAATAAATGTTTACCTTGTAATGATTTGGTTGTAATTGCCTAGCAGTATAAGTATCATTTCAATGCATTCTAATTATCATGTGATTAAACAGTTAACAGTTTTAGATTAAAATGATGAAACTATTCATTTTAGTTGAGAAAAGAGATTAGGGCTCCATTTTAAAAATAGTCATTGGCCTTATCTGTACAGGTTTAACAACTTGGGGAATTAATTCCAAATTCAGTATTATCAAAAGCCAAAGTTGATTTTGCGTAATATTTACATTTTTATGAGCTGTGCTTTATCAGGGAAAGAAGTACTGTCTCCTGACCCTAGCAAAGAGACTTGGGAACAGGTGAAATCATGTTAGTAATTGTGTTTCTGGTCAGATATATCTATCACATATAATTTATGTCTGACACAGTGGCCAAGGCAGTTTCATAACTTAACTGTAGTAATAGTTCATAGATTGCTATGGTAAAGTTTCAACTATCAGGGCTGAAATTCCATACTGGAAGTTTCCTATAGAACTTTTGGGTTTTGCTTACCCAAACAGGGCTGAATTGTCAACATTGGATAAATAAGGATGAACATGTGTGCTAACATTTGTGTTTACTTTCAATTTTGTAAGATTTGAGACTTCCAGCCTTCTCTTATTTACATTTTTTCTAAATTGTTAAAAGTTGTTACATAATAGTAAATGTCAATGCCAAAACAAACACTTGAGACATATTTTCAAACATTTCTTTTCCATGGCTCTCTGCAGCAATTGGTGAACCTGAGAGTATAGATTGGTATAATCCTCAAGGGGAGAAGATAATTTCAACACAGAGGGTAGCAGTGCAAAAGGAAGGTGTTAGATCACGATTAACCATCTACAACGCAAATATAGAGGATGCAGGGATATATCGTTGTCAAGCAACAGATGCCAAAGGACAGACACAAGAAGCTACAGTTGTATTGGAAATTTACCGTAAGTTATGCATTTATTAGTTAATTGAATTTGTGGTTGTATAAAAACTTGAACATAATGCATTTAGTAAAAATTAACACCCATTAATAACTATGTGCTAGATAATGTTGTAAGACCATTGCAAGTATCAGTTTATTTATAATTTGCCATGGTGCATCTCTAAAATGGAATTGATAATAGGAAATAGTTTATTATAAATATAGATGGAGCCAATTCTCTTGGTAAAATAATAGAAATGAAAATGTTTTCATGTTCTCCAGCCATTAAAAATCTATTGGGTAAATAGAAAACAGTAGATTATTTAGTGTTAGGAAATTTATCAGAAGTAGTTTTTCACTCTAAAATAAAAGGTCAGGATTAGAACAAATGACGTTACATATATGATAGCAGTGACCAGTCTAGAATGAGAATTGAGGGTCAGTGAACAGGAGTAGACACAGAAAAGCTGGAAATTCATCTAGTGGAGAATAATATCTAGCTGGATTCTTCACCAACAGAATTTTCTTTAAGATGATTTTCCATATTTACACTTGATTTTAGGAATTAAGATTGACAGTTTTCTATATTCCTTCCCCTTTCTTACATATAGGAATCATTTTTTTTTATTATGAAATTTATTGTCAAATTGGTTTCCATACAACACCCAGTGCTCATCCCAACAGGTGCCCTCCTCAATACCCATCACCCACCCTCTCCTCCCTCCCACCCCCCCCATCAACCCTCAATTTGTTCTCAGTTTTTAAGAGTCTCTTATGTTTTGGCTCCCTCCTTCTCTAACCTTTTTTTTTCCTTTCCCTTCCCCATGGTTTTCTGTTAAGTTTCTCAGGATCCACATAAGAGTGAAAACATATGGTATCTGTCTTTCTCTGTATGACTTATTTCACTTAGCATAACACTCTCCAGTTCCATCCACATTGCTACAAAAGGCCATATTTCATTCTTTCTCATTACCATGTAGTATTCCATTGTGTATATAAACCACAATTTCTTTATCCATTCATCAGTTGGTGGACATTTAGGAATCATGTTTAAGAATACTATGAATGAAGCCTGTTGACTCCTTAGGGGTGAAACCAGGCTGTATCACTTAATTTTGTGGCCTTGAGCAATTGCCTAACCTCTCTGTCTTCAGTTTCATCATCTATAAAATGGAATAATAGGAGCGCCTGGGTGGCTTGGTCGGTTAAGCGTCCGACTTTAGCTCAGGTCATGATCTCACGGTCCGTGAGTTCGAGCCCCGCGTCGGGCTCTGTGCTGACAGCTCAGAGTCTGGAGCCTGTTTCAGATTCTGTGTCTCCCTCTCTCTGTGCCCCTCCCCTTTTCATGCTCTGTCTGTCTCTGTCTCAAAAATAAATAAATGTTAAAAAAAATTAAAAAAAATTAAATGGAATAATAGTAGTATCTACCTCTTACATAGAATTGTTTTGAGCACTACATTAATTAATATTTTATAAAGTCCTTAGAAAAATGCCTCACAATTCATATGTGATAGTATTTTTACCACATATTAATGAAAAATATGTGAAAAATTACAAATTTTTGAAATAATAACTCATAAGTCACCCCCTTCCTACAGCTTTATTGTTATTATTATTTGGGAGATATGACATGAGAAAAAAAGGCAAAGTCTTCCCATGCCATGACTTCCTTTTTGATGTGCAGGGCAATTTTTTGGAATAGTATTGTCCTCATTTTTCCTGATTTAGACTCCCCCCACTCCTTTTAGTTTCTAAGCTCCTTAAGAAAAGGTAATATATTTGTTTATGTGATTCCTACTGCACCTATTTGATAAGTAGAAAAAATTAAATTGAAGCTATCATTTCATGGACATAATATTTTGAAAGGTTTTTCATTACTTTGAATGATGCAAAGGAAGGTGGCTGGTGTTTTGTTTGTATACTAAAGAAATGACTTTTTTTTCCTGGCAAGAACAATGAATAACTTTTGTGAAAATTTCTCAACAAGCATAAATATCCATGTTCATTCATTCATTCAGCACACTTACTGGGTATCTACTACATAACAGACAATATTCTAAGTCCTAAGGAGTGGTAACTAAAACAGAAAATGTCACTGGCTACTTGGTACTTATATTTTAGTGAGCGGAGAAACACAACCAATGAATGAGCTTAGAAAAATACGTGAATGCTAGATATCCATGCTGTAGAATTCTATGGTGAAGGAAATAAGGGGTAAAGAGAGGAGTTGAATGGGGGAAGGGAGATGGTTATTTTACTTGTGAAGGTGCAGCAGAAATCTGAAGGGATTCAAAGGAGCACAGATGGCCAAGGATGAGAACAAACCTGGAGTGTTCAAGGAATTGCAAAGAAGACAGTTAGTCTGGATCACAGGGACTTGGAAAAGAGAGAAGATACTGGGATTGGAATTGGGGAGCTGACTCCAGTTCACATAGGACCAAGTCTGGCATCGCGAGGACTTTGACCTTTCTTCTCGGTGAGATGGGAAGTTCTCGAGTAGAGGAATCACATTATCTGGAATCAGGTTTTAAAAGATCTAGCGTTAACTAATGATTTTATTGCAGCATCAATCCACACACAGATTTTGGAATATTTTGTTGGGAGAAGTGAGCAATAATACTTTTACGGTTTGTTTTACTTTCTTGATGCAGAAAAACTCACTTTCAGAGAAGTGGTATCTCCTCAAGAATTCAAACAAGGGGAGGATGCAGAAGTGGTTTGCCGAGTTAGCAGCTCACCTGCCCCTGCTGTCAGCTGGTTGTATCATAATGAGGAAGTCACCGCTATTTCCGACAGTTAGTATTTTGGTAACTCCCTAAATTATATGTTCTAATAATATTGCAATTTTTAAAGAGACTGAATCTACCTGACTGAATACAGAAATTTTATTTTTTTTTTATCTCAAGTATCAAACGGTTTTGAGAACCTTCCAGCTCTAAAGTAGGTGTTGGTAAACCATGGGTCTTGGGCCACAGTCAGCCTCTCTGCTGTTTTTGTATGGTGTCATGGAGTTACAGCCAATCCTGACCATTACACAGTTTGCATGGCTGCTTTGGGGACAGGGTTGAACAGCTGTGATACAGATGATGTGGCTTACAAAGTCTACGATACTTATCACTGGCAGATTTCCAGAAAAAGTTTGCTTACCCCTATCCTATTCAAGAAAAACTTAGTAAAAACTGTAGAAGGGTAATAAGTAAATGAAAGAATTAATCCCGATACATTCAAATTCTATATATTACAGTTTATACATGATCCCATGGGCTACTCTGTAATCTTAAAATAATAACCATATGAATCCTATTTATTATTCTGGCACTGTTCTCTCAAAGACACCTACATGTTCTAAATATTATGGTATGATGCATATGGATAATAGAAAAGTACATTCATTCAAATTGTCTTCATAATTTTGATTCAGACTGAGCTAAAATTCCAGAATAATATGACATCTGAAATTGAAAGCATAATTTGCTTACATTATGCTATTTTACCATTGTGCATTGGGAGCATTTTCAATTTAGAATATTTTTCAATGCACCTGCATTGCAGAGAGATACGAAATAATTGAATCTTTTTAAATACTTTCCATCTTGGATGATTCTGTTGTGTGTTTCTAAGAGATAAAACTTTTATAGCATAAAGGAGAGAAAGCAGATAGTATCTATTTTTGAGTATGTACAGAGAATGTATCATAATCATGTTTAATAGTCTTTTTTTAATTTTGAGATAATTTTTCTGGTCTTGGCATTTTCAGTGCTTGTCAGTTATCGACTAACTCTCTTTTTCTGTATTATAATAGGTGAGAAATGGTACTTTATTTCCTCTTATTTTATTTTAGGACAACTGCTTTATATTTTATTAACATATCACATGAGTACATTGTATAATGTATTTTCAGCTATTTTACCCTCAATAATAAAGAAAAGGCAGTTCTTGTATAGACGTTAAATGACAATGTCTAAACATTTTCACATTGCCTCATCTTAGGCTTCAAGTGTACATCTGGTTTATTGTAAACCTTAATTACAAGAAGGTTTTGAAATGAAGTATAGTTTTTATTTTTTTATTTTTATTTTTTTAACGTTTATTTATTTTTGAGACAGAGAGAGACAGAGCATGAATGGGGGAGGGTCAGAGAGAGGGAGACACAGAATCTGAAACAGGCTCCAGGCTCTGAGCTGTCAGCACAGAGCCCGATGCGGGGCTGGAACTCACGGACTGTGAGATCATGACCTGAGCCGAAGTTGGCCACTTAACCGACTGAGCCACCCAGGCGCCCCTGAATTATAGTTTTTAAAAGACACATGGAACAAAAGCCTCAAAGCCAGGACTGATAGTCCAGTGTGATGGTGTTGGAGGAGCACTGCTTCTCTGCCACAACTCACACACTTTTCTCCAGTATGCAGGGACGGACGTATTTGAAGGTAGAATTCGATTATGGCTCTACTCCTTGGCCGTGATGCTTTGAATAACTTTTCTAACTGTTCTCTAATTCAGATTCTGTATGTGTAAACAGTGGGTTATTATCTCTATTTTATTTTATTTTATTTTAAAAAAAAATTTTTTTTTCAACGTTTATTTATTTTTGGGACAGAGAGAGACAGAGCATGAATGGGGGAGGGGCAGAGAGAGGGATACACAGAATCGGAAACAGGCTCCAGGCTCTGAGCCATCAGCCCAGAGCCTGACGCGGGGCTCGAACTCACAGACCGCGAGATCGTGACCTGGCTGAAGTCGGACGCTTAACCGACTGCGCCACCCAGGCGCCCCGTATTATCTCTATTTTAAACAATGCTTGTGAGTTTCAAATAAGACTTTAGGCATATAATAAATATTTGTTAAATGAATGAATAAAATTTTTGTGTGTATATCAGGTTCTCAGCAAAATGACATTGATCTTTCTCCTTCCTTCTCATTGAGTTTTTAAATGTTGAGAAGAAGTTTTACCAAAATTGTAGACACTCAGGTTTTATCTAGAATAAAAAAAAATCCCATGTAAGTGAAGGGACTAGTCTAGAGTAAGCATGAAACCTGGTTCTGAATTGCATGGCAAGCAAAGAAAAGAAATGACATCTTTTTTTTTTTTTTTCTTTTTAATTCTAGGACATAAAGGAATTAGGTGAATTGTGAGGAAGGGCAAGCTTTTCTAACCTTTTAATATCAGAGGAACCTGCCACGTAGTTTATTGTTGGACAGCTTGTACATTCATAATGAATTTACAAGAAGTAATATTCTTCATCTGATTATACCTTGTATGATCCCTTTATTAAAGCTGATGGAATAAGATTAGGTTTATAGGGGCGCCTGGGTGGCTCAGTCGGTTGAGCGTCTGACTTAGGCTCAGGTCATGATCTTATGGCTCGTGAGTTCGTGCCCTGTGTTGGGCTCTGTGCTGACAGCTCAGAGCCTGGAGCCTGTTCCCGATTCTGTGTCTCCCTCTCTGTCTGCACCTAACCCACTCGCATTCTGTCTCTGTCTCTCTCAAAAATAAAGAAACATTAAAAAAAAATTTTTTTAAAGATTAGGTTTATAACCTTGAAAGGAACATATAAGGGGATTTAGAAGAATATGGTGTATCCAGGTAACTTTCTGAAGCCTTAATGTGGTGCATGAGTAAAGTTTGCAGGCTCTAGATGAAATAATGAAGGCTTGGAAATGTCCATCTTATTAGCCATGCTTTTGGTAGCAGCTGTATGGCAGGTATTCTTAATTAAAATTCCAAAAAAATATTCTGAGTGGAGGTCCTTTCCATGCTACTTGCTGAAAATAACCCATCTGCTAAATAACCTAAGCATTTAGGAAGTAAAGGTGGCATTTTGTTACAAAAGTTGAAAATCCTGACTTTTAGGATCCCTCAACGGAGGGATATGATATCGCAGATGCCTGTTTCAACCTCAGCCAGTTTGAAAGTTATTTCTAAAATATTCTAAGTGCTTTGATCATTGCCAAATGATTGCATCAAAAACTGTGGATAAAATCATCTTGTTCAATATTTTTTATGTAATCTTCCTCCAGTATAGAAATTCATTCAATTTTGAACTAGTTGTTGAAAACCTACTATGTGCCATCTAGCATGCTAGATGGTTGTTATTCATAGTTAACTCGATAAACAAGTTCACTGCCTTCAAATGCTAATAATCTAGTAGAAAAGATTAATAGAGAAATCAGTGAAAACAAAGTATGTTGAAGTCTATGAGAAGGAAAGTGTAATGATAGAAGATAATAAAGAAAGAATACCTCAACTAGTTAGGACAGAGATGGGAGTCCAAGATGCCTGCTGAATAGAGAAGTAACACTTAAGTGGTGGGGACTTGTCAGGAGGGAGATCATCTGCAGTGGCCTGGAGGTGAAAGATACCATGAATGGTGCTCTAGAACCTGGAATAAGTTTATTATAATGAAAATTTATGAATAAGTGCAACTGGAATACTTATACTAATAGATAAATAAAAACTAGGGTTGGTCATAAAGAACTAATAAGATAGGAGACTGAAAAGGAAGGTTGACCTGAGTCATAATGACCCTGACATCTCTGCTAAGGAATTTATCCAAAAGCAACATCACTAAAGCATTTTAATCAGAGCAGTAACATGACCTGATATGAATTTGGGAAGGATATTAGTGCTTCAGTGAGAAGAATGAGTTGGATGGTAGTCAAAGCAAAACTCCAGGCATTGATAACAGTTCAAACCCTAATGAAATAATTGCTGAAGGAGAAGGAGATTTAGACTAAGTAATGATAAAGGGGGAAGTGACAGGACATGGGATTTAATTGGATATGTAGATGGAGGGAGATGGAGAAGTGAAGGATGATTCAAGGAATTGGACTCGGGCAAATAGTTCAATGTACAGACATGCTAAGACAGAACTGGAGAGACCGTATGAGAAATTTCAGGTGGAGATAGTACAGTGAATTTTAAGTTTGCTGAGATGAAAGTATTTCCAACCCTTTTCAGTAGGTACATCTGCTATACTGTTACAGACTTTTCTAATTCAGGTAATGGTCTTGTCTGAAGAAAAATTGTGAGACTCAAAATATAGATGGTAATTGAAGCCATAAGAGTAGATGAGACATATCATCAGTGGCTGGGGAATGAGAACAAAAGAGGGCTAGAAAATAATCTGCCTAAAGAAGCATAAAGCAGATCACTTACTGAGTATTACATTTTTTCATTTATTTTTTAATGCAATAATGAAATTAAAAAAAAACCACGAAAGTTCTGTATAATTGAGAGAAGCTAATAACCTCTAATAGTCAAATAGTCCTGATATCCATAGTTATGTGTAATTGATTGAAGCAGTGCTTTCTTCAAGTGTTTTCTTCAAGCACATATTCATGATGTACTTCAGTTTGATAGTTCATTATATCATTCCATGGACTTGACACCCATATCTACAATTTGACATGCAATTTTCACATGGTTTGTTTTCTGTATGGAAACATTGGGATGTATTTACATTTAGCAGGTAACTACTATTTTTCTAATGTTCTAATAACTTCTCTCAGACAGTAGAAATACTATATTAAAATGGCCATTTGATTAAAAGTTTACAATTAGAAGAAAGATTGATTTATTCCTATCAAAATATGTATTATAGACATTCAAGTCATTTTCCTTTTTATATCAAATATTGCCTTCCTGATTAAAATAATTCTTCTGCTTACTAATTTTGTAACTAAGTATCCTATAAGTGTTAAAGAACATTATAGTTAAAGGATAATACATATTTTAGTAATTTAAAAATACTACAATAATCAAGGTATAATTATGGGCATCCCTAAGTTTGAACTATTACAATTTATAATTGCTTCTCATTCTAATTTCCAGCCACGTGCTCAAGTAGAGGCTCTTTTAATTGACTTTGAAACGTTCTTAATTTTTAGGAGTTCTGAGTTATTCCAGGACTTCTTGTGAGTTAAACTTTAAAATTTCTTGAGGATTCTTTTTCTCCAGGCTTTTCCTAGAGAAAAGGAAAATTTACCAGGGAAAGCGTATGTATAAAAATTTGTGTCTCTCTTCTTTGGGTCAACCTAAAGAAGAAATAAATATTATGGGAAAGCTTGTATAGTAGTCCCTCCATGTCCACAGGAGATATATTTCAAGACTCCCCAGTGGCTACCAGAAGTACCAAACCCTGTATATACTTTTTTTCTAACAAAATGTGCTTATGATAAAGTTTAATTTATAAATTAGGCATTTAACTTATAAATTAAGAGATTAACAGCAATTACTAATAATGAAATAGAACAATTACAACAATTTTATTGTAATGAAAGTTATGTGAATATGGCCACTCTCTAAAAATAGCTTATTGTACTGTACTCACCCTTTTTCCTTTGATGAGGGAATATGATACAATGCCTACATGATGGGATGCAATGAGGTGAATGACATAAGCATTGTGATATAGTTCTGGTAAGATGTCATAAGGAGGATCATCTGCTTCCGGGCCACGGTTGACTGAAGGTAAATGAAACTGCAGAAGGCAAAGCCATAAATAAGGGGGACTGTTGTCCTTCCTGAGCTGAAAATCATGTGTCTCTTGCTTTACAATCAATATTTTCTATTTCCGGGGGCCTCTGAATCTACCTATTTCCGCTCTTTATTAATTATCTCTTCCTTACCTGTATTAAGCGCAGTCTTCTCATATTCTGATCACTCTCCTATTTGTATTTGTAGTCCAAACTAGAATTGGTATGGCATTAAGAAATTGTATTAAGGAATCACTATGGCAAATGAATCCCAAATCTGAATCGAACCCAAAACAACCTAATATAGCAGATTATGTCCAGTCGGCAGCCCCAGCCATCCATTCAGTGGTCCAAGCTGAGGGAAGCTGTACCTTTTTCTCATGCAGCTTCCATGTTTACCCTACCTGTCTATCAAGCCAGCAGATAGGGGAAGAGCAGTAAACATTGGAATAGGTCCAAAAAGTAACCTTTAATGGTATAACAGTAAATACCCTGGAGGAGAGCACCTTAAACTAATGGCATTTCTACTTTACCAAAAGGTACAACGGGGTTGAGGATGTCTCTCTCATAGTTACCAAAGTATCTCAAATACTATGCATACCAAAAAGGTGATGTTCAATGATATATTAACTGATGAAATTTAAGATATTGCTTTTACAACATGTTTCAAAATGGACTAGATGTGAGAATATTGTTTACTTGATAAGAAGAGAAAAGGTCCTAACACTGCAACAAAATTGCCATGACTAAAAAAACAGACCAGACATTATGGAAAACATGTTCAGGCTGAGATGATGCCTAGGCTAGCCAGATTATTTTAAGCAATCAACTAATGCATGCCCTCTAACAGCCTATTTTTATGTATATTCATGTGCATACACTCATACACAAAATGGAATCTTGAAATAAAATTAATAAAGTCTAATCTATTCATTATTAAAGTGGATTATCTTGCATTTAGAAAAAAATTCAAATAAATTCAAGATATGGCCATTTTATATGTCCTTTATGTGACTTGAATATTACTGTATCATTTAGCTTTCTCCTAAGGGTATACAAAATTATTAGTTTAATTATTGTGTAAGGAAGGCTATTCAATCAATTTTCTAACCCTTTTCCACCCTTTAGTTGCTACATATTTGCAGTCAAAATGTCTTCATGCCTGCAATATCTAATCTCTCAGCATTGTTCTTTTGTGTATCATTTCTGCATTCAAAGTACCAAGGGGAAAATAATAGCCTAACCATTTTATGTGGAAATAAAGTCTTGAATGTATTTTAGAAAAAAAGGTGTAACAAGGCAGTGTGGAGTGGAAAAATTGAAGCCATGAAATTACATTTTACTTTCAAATTTGAGTTTGTTTGTTGATGAAAAGTTTGATAGTGTCAGACAAGTGCCATATTTTAACTCTTAGCAATTTAGAACATACTGGACTCTGCTTTCAATTACTGATATCATTTCCTCCCCTTTGCTTGCTTTCTAGATCGTTTTGCTATGCTAGCCAACAATAATCTGCAGATTCTCAACATCAATAAAAGTGATGAAGGTATATACAGGTGTGAAGGAAGAGTGGAAGCTAGGGGAGAAATTGACTTCCGTGATATCATCGTTATTGTTAATGGTAAGCAGAGAATAATTTGTACATATTTTATTGTTGCATTTTAGCAATATTTTTATTAAAAGGGCAACCCTGTAAATACGGCACTTTAATAACCTTTTTGATACCTGGAGGAAATCTCCCCACCTCTATGATCACATCTATTACACTGTCTATAGTCTCACGGGCAGGATCTGCGACTTATTTAACACTGTCATCTTCTTTCACTCTTCTACTCTGTAAGGGAGTAGTTGCCTTTTGCTGGCTTTGTAGTTGTTGAAAGAATGCCAAGTGAAACATAGTAAAGTGTCATACTAGATTTGACTTTTAAATTGCATGAATCACTGGTGGCTTAAACTAATCTATTTAACAGTTTTGTAGGTTTTCTCAAATTTAAATTTAATAATTGAATCCACAAGGAGATTAATAACTAAGTTTATGGCATCACGATGACATCTCTTCTTCCAAATTTGGCTTCTCCTGCTGTATTTTCTGCCTGTGTTAACATGACATTCTATGAGCCCAGAAGATATATTAATGGTATCCTCCTAGTGCCTCCATTTTGATGATCTAATCTATAATTGACATATGCAACACACTTTTTAACATCTCTCAAATATATTCTACCATGATGCCCTCCATAAGAGTGCTGCCCTTTCAAATTGCTTTTCTTCTTTTTCTTGAATTGCTACAAGCTGTTTCCTCTTCTCTCAGTCCCATAATTCAACTTCTTCTCCATCCAACCTTTCACCACTTAAAATTGTCAATGCTTCCTGTTAACTTTGAGACAAAATTAAAACCACTTTTCATGGCATTGGATTTCTTTTATGGTCACCAACCCTTCTTCCCTAACATTCATTCATGAGTAGCCCATGCCTCAGCCATATGGAAATATTAGTACTAACACTGCACAAAATGCACTTTTGGTTTTTCTTCTGTTTTAAAATAAAAAGTTAGTGGTACCTATAATCCCACAGGGTTCTATAAGCAGAATGTCATTTGTTCTTTCTGGGATAGACAAAATCTAAAATTAAGGAGTTAGCCACACATTTCCTATGAGTTGGGGCTGGGACAAGGAGGAATAAATCTGTGTCTTCTATATCCTTTCCCCATCCCGCCACGAGCTAGCTCTCCAGTTCTTTAAGACTGGAGAACACTAGGAATCTCATATACCTCTGAAAGAGTTCACTGGTCTTTCCTTTTCTGCAATAAAGGCAGTTGAACCACAAAGTTCATGCTGAAATACAAAGAGAATATTAAAACACTGCTATCTTTTTTCTCTCCTTCTCCAAGTCTATAATTAATTGGGATTTGTGGATAATATAATGGAATAGAATAGGTGTTATGACAAGGAAGCTAGACAGGCTTGTAGAAATTGCACATGCTCATGGAGGAGGCCAAAGTGCCAGGCCTTCAGAGGAAAAGCTTTTCTTTTTTAGAAAAGCCCATATTTTTACACTAAAACAGTAACTCAAATATGATATAAAAAGAAATGAGGGGCACTGAGGGGCTCAGTTGATTAAGCATCCAACTTTTGGTTTTGGCTCAGGTAATGATCTCAGGGTCCATGGGATCAAACCCCATGTTGGGCTCTGTGCTGACAGTTTGGATCCTGCTTGGAATTCTCCCTTCTCTCTCTCTGCCCCTCCCTTCTCTCTCTCTCTCTCACTCTCAAAATAAATAAACATTAAAAAAATTTTAATAAAAAAATAAACGATATCTGGCAGGCGTAGCATATTCACCCTTTATTAACTATTTTGCTATTGTAATTTTAATACAATATTAATAATTAAATTAATATTTTAAATACTTTAACACATTTATAAATGTTCTAATCTGTTTCCACACTAGTTGACCTGTGAATTTTTATATATGATTACATTTATTTTGAAGGAAGCAAATTGTTTTCAATTAACAAAGTTTGAATCTTCGAGTCCATCTTGGTAAGCGCTCAAACTGGAATATTTTGTTCTGTATATCTATTCCTATTATGCCGGGGTTCACAAGAGGATAAACACTGGATTGTGTTCTTTTGTGCCACTCAAATCAATCCTGTAGGTAGTTTTCTGTTCTGCCTGCATCCCACTGACCCTCCCAAAGGGAAATCATTCTCCTTCCACATCCCAATTTCCTCTAACAGAATCAACTACAGATCCTAATCTGACCTTTGCTCAAACACTGCTTTATCTCCACTCATTCTAATTAGTCACATTTCCCCTTTATGGTCAAAAACTCTCATACCTTAGAATTCCTGGCATCACTTTTCTGCAAAATAACACTGTTCACAAAAATCAACCATCGATTTATTCGCCTTCTGGATGATACGTTTGGACCCTGTCAAGGGAATGCATTGACTAATGCCACCAGTTCATCTCTGCTTTTCTCTCACATTTTGCCTTTATTTCAGACAGAAGAGTCATTCTGCTACAGTCTTATTGAAAAGGTTGAGCTCTCCTTAAAAGTATCTTCTTAATATTTCTCTTTTATAAAACCTCTTGAAGGTATTTCAGTGGAAAGTTCGAGGCTGCAAAAAATAATAATAAAATAAAAGCAATAGCTTTATCTACCTTATCTTTCTTCAACTACAAATATGACCTGTTCTATGACCTTTTCCTCAACTTATATTGAGAGCCCTCTCTCTTAATTGCTACTTATTTTTTATCATGATTTGGATTTTATCCTGGACCTCCTTTCTTTGTCTCCTTCCCCCTCAAGTGCCCTGGAATCCTGACCAAAGGCTCCAGCAACTATTTATGTATATTCACTGCTTCCTTGTGAGATCTTAGCTCTGGAAAAAGCTCTGTTCTTTCTTTTATTGTTTGCTCCTTGAAAATTTTTCCCTCGTGTTTCTTTTCTTCCAATGCATATGCTTTTGTTTCAATAAATAATTGAAAGATATTTTTGCTAAGTTCCTCTTTGGTACCAACAATACTAAATCTTAGGAATATTTTTTTTTTCGTAACTCCCTCTCTGACTTTCTTACCATATTTCTCAATGCCTGTGTATAGTTTTTTTGCAAACACTTTCTTTCCTCCCTTGAAGAGGTTATGTATTACTGCTCATTGACATGTGGATTGTGGCGCTTCCAGTGGGAGAGTTGTGCACCCCCACCCAACTGATGAAGTCACTTGTCCTGGCCAGTGGCACGTAAAACCAAACAATATACACTATGACTGAAATTAGGCTGCAAGAAGAATGATATCGTTTTTTTTTATCATGTTCTTTCCTTCTGACATGAAACTAGCATGACCCCAAAGAGAGACTTTTCCGTCACCTTGGATACCACAATGAAGACATGTGGAGCAGAGTCACAGCTGATCTGCAGGTGCAGACACAACATAAATAAGAAATAGAGCACATTTTTTAAGCCCTGAACTTTAGAACCGTTGTTTATTGCAGAAAAGCAGGCAAATGCAGTGCCAGTGGCCTTTTCCTACTTAAATAAGCAAATTATTTTTTTTTTTTCAACGTTTATTTATTTTTGGGACAGAGAGAGACAGAGCATGAACGGGGGAGGGGCAGAGAGAGAGGGAGACACAGAATCGGAAACAGGCTCCAGGCTCTGAGCCATCAGCCCAGAGCCTGACGCGGGGATCGAACTCACGGACCGCGAGATCGTGACCTGGCTGAAGTCGGACGCTTAACCGACTGCGCCACCCAGGCGCCCCTTAAATAAGCAAATTAAACACTATATGACCTAGGGATACTTCTGAAATTACTTCCCTGAGTATGCTGCAGATGTCGTATAATCCCATTTTCTTCTGATGGTGATCATTTCTTGAGATTTTCTTATCACCTTATCAGACAATTGGAAATCCAACTGAAGATTTTTGACTGCAGTTTCAGTATTAATTTATATTGCACTTGTGTATTGATTCAACAGGTACGTATGAAGTGCTAGCTATGTGTTTCACACTATGTTATGCTCAAAATACTATTGGGCTTAATGTATCATCATTTCCTTCAAGGCACTTCGAGTTTTATCTTACTAAAATAATCAACTTTACTAAAGTCCCTTATTGTTTATGGGACAGTTGGATACAAAAGCATTTACTAAAGGCAATTTTTATAGATATTCACAGACTATTTTTTAATAAGAAGGAGCACCTAATGTAGCTTAAGGGGAGACTTCCTTGGTATTTGGGATAAATCTATTGGTGGAAAAGTGCTGCCTTTTAGAACAGAGAGAAAGAGAGAGACAGAAGGACAAATAGAACAGATTGTGCAAAAACAAAAATCGTATGATGTGAAAAATACCTAATAACTGTGACTGGAATGTGATATTTTGGGGAGTGATGGTAGTGTTAGATGAGATATAGCTGGAGAGTCAGAGGGTCAGATCATAGAGGACTATGGACTCTCTTCTATGAGGCAAAGATGAACTGACATCCAAACTAGAGAGCAAGGAAATTGACAGAATGATGGAGGCAGGGAGAGGAAGTGAGTTCAAGTGAGAGATAATTGGGGCTTGTGCTAAAAGACAAAGAAATGAAGGGGAAGGTATATAATCAGGTATTATTCGGAACAAAGCCTTTGTATCACATGTATGTCACAGAGGCTAGAGCAATCAAGGGTAATTTGAAGACTTTTAGTGTGGGTTTTAGGTTTCCAGCATACTAAATGCAAACAAATGTGACCCATATAGTGAGACTTGAAATATATTTGCTGAATTTGACCATTATGAGATTACAAGAGACATTAGGGTCAATAATATCATCTGAATAGCCTGGACAAAATTCATACTGCAGTGACTTGAAGGATAAATGTACCTTTTGCATTCATTGAAGGATGAAGTTAGCAAAGTCACAACATTTGTTACCTCAGCTTATTGGGATCAACTGTTAAATGGGAAACATCACAAGGTTGAATTAAAGAATAGAGGAAGTGGTTGGACATTTATAAGGAACATATACCTTGCACATAAAGAGGATATCTTTTATGATGAGCCTGGAGGAAGTGAGTCCAAAATGAGTTAGGATGTGGATAAATTAATTCAAAGATGGGTCTGGTTGATAATTTGAGAG